GACACTGGGCCAATGACCAGGAGACGGGGAGTTCTAGTCCCGCCTTAGGCATGAAAGCCAGCTGGGTGACTTTGGGCCAATGACCAGGAGACGGGGAGTTCTAGTCCCGCCTCAGACATGAAAGCCAGCTGAGTGACTTTGGGCCAGTCACTCCCTCTCAGCCCAACTCACCTCATAGGATGATTTTTATGAGGAAAATAGGAAGGTATATTAGATATGTTCGCCACCATGAATTATTTGTGAAAATAATAAAGGTGGGGGGAAAAAAAGAAAGAAAAAAGAGGGAGGGAGGGAGGGAGGGAGGGAGGGAGGGGGAGGGAGGGAGGGAGGAGGAAGGAAGGAAGGAAGGAAGGAAGGAAGGAAGGAAGGAAGGAAGGAAGGAAGGAAGGAAGGAAGGGTTTTAGAGATGATGATGGAGAAAGATACTCAGGACGCAATTCAGACAAGACCTAGCCTCAACCCCCTCCTCCATCTACCATATGGCTATAATATCTCATCTACAAGCCTTCTTCATAGGGATGTGGTTTTAAGATGGCAGACGTGAAGCAATTAGAATAGGCTGTCAAAATTCTGTGAAGGATCTAAAGATGAACAGATTCCTCGGCTGTTCTTTAGCCCAATAGATTATCCTCTACGGCAGGGGTGAGGAACTATGGCCCTCGTATGACTTGTGGACTTCAACTCCCAGAATTCTTGGCTCAGGAATTCTGGGAGTTGAAGTCCGCAAGTCATAAAACTGGCCGTCGTTCCCAACCCCTGCTCTACAGCAACGTTGGTATCTTTCAGTCTCAGTACACCGTCTGTCCATCCAAGCTACCTATTTGAGAGGCCCACTGAAGACTTAGCAGCTTAAAAAAAAAAAAAAAACCCACACACCGGCTCCTCTGGTCGGTCTTACCAATGAAGGCACTGGGAATGGTAATCTTCAGCCACATGCGGTCGCGCACCTCCAAGCCTGATTCTGGCGAGGCCATGGCTTTGACGATGGTGGCCATGTCGCTATGGATGGAGAGGTGGAAGTCATCAAGACCTGTGCAAGAGGAAGGAAGGATGAAGGTGAGAGATGAGAGAAAGGTAGAGGAACGCACGCGATTACCACATACAGATTCCGACGTTCTCCAGAGAGATCGACAGGGGATCCTGGTAATCCGACACATTTCAGGAAGAGAAATTTGAGGAAGGCCGCAATAGAGATGCGGGCTGGGAAACCAGACAGGCATATCCTAAAAGCCGCATGGAACTACCATCACCAACTGAATAGGACTCCTCCTTAAACCACCGGTGCACGTCAAAAACTGCTGTGAAGTCAGAATGTGCCATTTTTAAAAAATTTCTGCCTGACGTGAATTGTAACCAGTGGTGGGATTCAGCCAGTTCAGGCCAGTTCGGGTGAACCGGTTGTTAAAATTGCTGGCTGGCCCCGCCCTATCCCGACCCTTTCAGGAGTCCCCACATGCCCCGTTTTTGCTCCCAGGAGGCTGCAGGGAGGCCTACTAGGCCCAAAACGGGGCGGAGGGGGCTGCGTGCCCTCCCACAGCCTGTTTTTTTCTCCCAGGGGGGTGCAGGAGGCCGAGTGCTGCCTGTCACACCCCCTGGCCACGCCCACCATGGCCACACCCACCCAGCCGGTCATTAGGTTGTTAAATTATTTGAATTCCACCACAGATTGTAACTGCTTTGTTCTTCTACTTTTTTATTTTTTTTAATTTGATTTATATGCCGCCCTTCTCCGGAGACTCAGGGCGGCTTACAATGCGCTAAGCAATAGCCTTCATCCTTTTGTATATTTATACAAAGTCAGCTTATTGCCCCCACAAACTGGGTCCTCAATTTACCTACCTTAGAAAGGATGGAATGCTGAGTCAACCTTGAGCCTGGCGAGATTCGAACCTGCAGTAATTGCAGGCAGCTGTCTTAATAACCAGCTTAATAACAGGGTGCCTTAGACCACTCTACTACCAAGGCTCTTTTTAGACTCTTACTTTGACTCTTCCTTTAAAAAAGCTACAGGCAGCTGGAGTGGAATTTTTTGTTTTCCCAAACAAGAAGTGTTCAGATCAAGGCCAAGGGTATTTCGGGAACAGCGCAGCCTGAGCTGCCTCAGATGTTTCGTGTTTCCACGCTGTCAGCAAGGAGTATCAATCCTTCCATCAATCCTCCAGAGCTGAAGAAGCTTCTTGGATGAGAAGCGAAATGTCTTCAAAGGAAAACCAGAAAAGTCCAGTTGCCTCTTGGAAAAAATCACCTTTGGGACTCAGATGTTTCACTTGGCCAAACTAATTATTCCATAGCCAGTGATGTGCAAAATATTTCCAGCCCAAAAGCCTCCTGTTTCACTTCAAAAATTTGATTTCTATGCTTCCTGGAAAGGTTGCAGGCTGGAAGTCAGCTGTATTCGAGACAGCCCAAAGAGGCCCACCAATTATGGTCAAGATGGTGCCATCAAATTTCTATCTGTTTTTTGCTGTACACCGCAACAGTCATCTTCATTTTTGGGGGACCATACTTGTTAACCCCGGAACAGCACCATTTTAAGCGCCGTGGTGGCGCAGTGGCTAGAATGCAGTATTGCAAGCTAATTCTGCCGACTGCCAGCAGTTCGATTCTGACCAGCTCAAGGTTGACTTATATCCTTCCGAGGTCAGTAAAACGAGAACCCAGAATGTGGGGGCCAATATGCTAACTGTATAAACCACTTAAGAGTGTGTTGTAAAGGACCGTGAAGCAGTCCAAGTGCTATTGCTATTTACGCTCAAAATGAGCTTGTTTAAGATTGGATCATGTCTGAAAAACTCACAACTCAACCGTTCTGTGCTCAAAGCCATGGCTTATTCAAATTGCTGTGCATGCCTGTTCTCCAAAACACAATCCGTAGCTACCAATAGATCATCTCCAAATCCTCTTCATGGCCACTTCTTAGCTCCATTGAAGATCTCCAAAACCCAATCCATAGCTACCTCTAGGTCCGTGATGGCGAACTTATGGCACGCGTGCCACAGCTGGCACACAGAACCCTCTCTGCGGGCACGCAAGCGGCCGCCCAGCTCAGCCCCACTGCGCATGTGTGCGCGCCTCCCACCGGCTGATTTTCAGGTCTCTGCTGTGCATGCGCAGGGGTCGGGGTGCTTGAGACACACGTGCAAGCGCGGGGTTGCACACACATGCACGGGGGGCGGGGGATCAAGTGCACATGTGCTGGTGGAGAGCAGGGGGGTGCGGCGCCCCCCCAGCCCATTTTTGGTCCCAGGAGGCTGCAGGGAGGCTGCTAGGGGAACGGGATGGGTGCGCATGGGGGCGCGGCCAGGGGGGTGTCCCGCGTGCATTGCATTATGGGTGCCGGCACTTTCGGCACACGACGACAAAAAGGTTAGCCATCACTGCTCTAGATCATCTCGAGATCTTCCTCATGGCCACATAGCTTCCATTGAGGATCCCATCTTTTCTTTCTTCTAGTGTCCCATAGGCTCTCTTGGGCTTTTATCTCACCTCTCCCTACTTCCTCACCCATCCGAGTAGGTAGGAAAGAACTCTTGTGCCCATGTTGCTCCATAAGCTTGCTCTGAAACACAACTCAGGTAATCCTGAGCGGGGCAAGAAAGGTTGTAAAAATGGGGCAAAACTCGCTAAACAGCGGTCTCACTTAGCAACGGAAATTTTGGGTTCCACTCTAAGTTGAGGATTACCCATACTTCCTTCCTGGATGATACTTCCTGTATTTCCCTCTCTCTCTCTCTCCACTTCCCTCTTGGGGGCAGCTCTGTTGAAATCCCAGCACATCCTTTCAAGAGTCTATGGAGATTCTCCCTCAACCAGGTCATGTTTGTCCCAAAGGTGCTTTTTTTTTTTTCAAGAGGCAACTGGACTTTCTGGTTTTTCTTTGAAGACGTTTCGCTTCTCATCCGAGAAGCTTCTTCAGTTCTGACCGGATGGTGGGAAATGGAAGGATTTACACTCCTTGCAGACAGCTGGTCATTTGCATTCCTTGTAGAGAGTCCTTGAGGCCACTTGGAGGTTGATCTGTGTCTTCAGTATCACTCCAGTGGTGCAAATGGGTGCGGAGCCTTCTTGGAACTGCTGAAAAGACTGTGTTGTAGATGTTCTGTCCCCGTCTCACACACGCACACAAACAGTCAGCCAGGAGTTAAATAAAACTTGCAGACAATAAATTTCTTCGATAACAGGATTGGCACCAACCCAGTAGCTGCTTGCCAAGAACTTTACTCACAGAGAACCAAAACAAATACACACAGAATTGTCAAGTCCAGTCCGTATTAAATCCAAGGCAGGCAGATAACGTAGTTTCAGAGATACAATGCAACTCGCTAGTTGTTTAGTTTTGTCCGTCACAGAGCCTGAATGGCCACCACACCCCCTTTTATCCCGTGGGGTGTGGTCCAGTGACTCAGCTTAATCTCTGGCACGCCTCCTTTTCTGTTGCGTGCGCTTGTCTCTCCGACGCTGGCGTGGATCCAGCCAAGACTTATCTCCGTCACTGTCCAACTGCGACTGCTCGGCGATACCTGGCTCCTGGCCAATCTCTTCTCCTTCGGGAGACACCTGAGGCATTACCAGAGAGGAGGGTCCTGGAGAGGGAGGCCTGGCCAACTCCTCTCCTTCACTTTCAGAGCCTTTTCCCTCCGATAAGACAGGCTCGGGGGTCAGAGTCACAACAGTAGACTGGAGATAGAGGGCCAATGTACAGATCTGCATGTGGCTCACTGCATCATACTGCATGTGAGCAACGTGTTATATGCAGTACAATGCAGTGAGTCATGTGCAGGTCAGTACACTGGGGAAACAAAACAACCACTTCATAAACACATGGCACAACATAGGAGAACAAACCTATCAGGGCCAGATTCAGCTGTCCATCTGCATTTAAAAGACAAAAGGGCGCTCTTTTGAAGACAGCAAAGTCCACCTTTTGGACAGAGAGGTTTGAAAGAGGGATCCAAGAGGCCATCTAGGTCAAAACAGAATACCCCTCTCTCAACAGAGGGGGAGGGGTATGACATCATCTATCTCCAGTCTACAACACAGTCCTTTCAACAGTTCCAAGAAGGCTCCACACCCCTTTGCACTACTCAGGTGACCCTGAAGACAACAGATAAACCTCCAGGTGGCCTCAACGACTCTCTAAAAAGGATGCAAACGACCAGCTGTCTGCAAGGAGTATAAATCCTTCCGTTCCCCACCATCCAGTCAGAGCTGAAGAAGCTTCCCGGAGGAGAAGCAAAATGTCTTCAACGAAAAATCAGAAAGTCCAGTTGCCTCTTAAGAAAAAAAAAAACGCCCCTTTGGGGACCATCCTTTCAAGAGAGACTCAAAACATCCCTGCTCAGCGGTTCAGCGTCTACCAGGAAACCGATCCTTCGTTACTGATTTAGAAGGGGGTCAGGCTCTTCTTCCAACCAGGGGGACCTTGGGCCCTGTGCAGGTACGGTTCCTATCGGATGAGGTGTGCAGCGGACTGGAAGCCAAGCATGGATGGGAGATGCGCGAGTACAAGAACTTACGTTCCGTTTCTGGGATGGAGCTGGTGATGGAAGAGCTGGTGGAAGTGATTGTGCTCATGGATGGGCTCATACCGTACGCAGGGAAAGTGCCGGTCATCGCCGCGGTGTGGGACACCCAAGCCGCCGGGTCGATGGGTCGGATAGGCTCACCTGAAAGGGAACACGCACCTTGTGAGAAGGCCATCTCCTCGAACGGTCATCCCCTACGCTGGACCCCCACAAGACCTCTGGGCAGCCCTTTCCTTCCCCCAGGGTCAGCCGGGACTCACCCGGATCGGAGCATGGAGACTCTGGCCCAGCCCAGATTCGCTGGGGAGCAACTGGGGGGAGAAAAGAGAGGGGTGATCAGCAAGAGGGATACAGAGAGAGAGAGATCCACCTGGCACCCATGGATTAGCAGGGAAGGGAAGGGAGGACAGGGGGAGGAGACATCCATGCAGGGAAGGGATGTGTCTGTGCTGGGATGGAAAAGAGCAATCAAATAGAAAGTCCCAGAAGATGGCAGGGGAGAAGTAAAGAGGAAGGAAGAGAAGCACAGAGAAGAAGGTGGCGGGAGAACCTCAATGGCTTTCTCACACACTGCAAGCCAATTTATAAGATAAAGGTTCCCCTCGCACATATGTGCTAGTCGTTCCCGGCTCTAGGGGGCAGTGCTCATCTCCGTTTCAAAGCCGAAGAGCCAGCGCTGTCCCAAGACGTCTCCGTTGTCACGTGGCCAGCATGACTCAACGCCATAAGGCGCACGGAACGCTGTTACCTTCCCACCAAAGGTGGTCCCTATTTTTTCTACTTGCATTTTTTTACATGCTTTCGAACTGCTAGGTTGGCAGAAGCTGGGACAAGTCACGGGAGCTCACCCCGTTAGATGGCACTAGGGACTCGAACTGCTGAACTTTCGATTGACAAGGTCAGCGTCTTAGCCACTGAGCCACTGCGTCCCACTCAAGCCAATTGATGCACTTAGCCAAAAAGGAGGAGAAAACCATTTCTGGGCGATTCTCAGTCATCCAGCTCACGGTTGTCCCAAAAGAGCTTTTCCAAAAAACAACTTATTTTTTATTTTTATTTTTTTGCTTCTTGAAAATGTTTCGCTTCTCATCCAATATTTCGGAAGCTGAAATATTTTCAAGAGAAAAAACGAACAAACAAGGAAGTCCAGTTGCCTTTTGGAAAAGCACCTCTGCGTCCTTCCTGGGAATGTCTCAAAAGCCTCGCTACATGTAGAAAACAAGCATCTTCAACGGAAAGAACTTTTTCTTCCCGAGGGCTAATCTTCACGACGTACAGAGTCCTCACTAAACACTGGAAGAGTCTTTAAACGAGGAATTATCAAGAACCGTATCGCTCCAAGGCCTGTAGGTTTACTCTGTCGATTGTATCTCCAGTTTTCTCTTTTCACTCTCATTTGCTAAGCGGTTCTATTATTCCCTTATGAAGGGCGGTAAGTCCAGGCAGTCCTCGACTTAAGACCACAATCGAGACCCCCCTCCATTTCTGTTGCTAAGTGAGACGTTTGTTAATTGTTTTGCTCCATTTTACCACCTTTCTTGCCACCGTTGTTAAGCGAATCACTGCAGTCATTAAGTTGGTAACGCGGATGTTAAGTGAATCCGGAATCCCCGCTGACTTTGCTTGTCAGAAGGTCGCAAAAGGGGATCACGTGACACCGCCCCCCCGGGGGGGGGACACTGCAACCATCATAACTGAGAGTCAGTTGCCGAGTATTTGAATTTTGATCACGTGACTATGGATCACGTGATCATGCAACGGTCATGCAACGGTCGTAAGTGTGAAAAATGGTCATAAATCGCTTTTTTCCAGTTCCGTTGTTAACTTTGAACGGTCACTAAATAAACAGCTCGTTTAGTGACCATTCAAAGTTACAATGGCACTGAAAAAAGTGACTTAGGACCAGTTGTCACACTTATGACCATTGCAGTATCCCCGTGGTCATGTGATCCAAATTCAGACGCTGGGCAACTGAGTCACATTTATGACGGTCGCAGGCTCCCCGGGGGGGGTCACATGGATCCCCTTTTGCAACCTTCTGACAAGCAAAGTCAACGGGGAAGCCAGATTCACTTAACCACTGTATTACCAACTTAACAACCGCCGTGATTCACTTAACAACGATGGCCAGAAAGGTGGTAAAATGGTGGCAAAACTCACTTAAGGATTGTCTCACTCAGCAATAAAAACTTGGGGCTCACTTGTGGTCATAAGTCGATCACTACCTGCACGACTATTCCTCCATATGGGGATTGGAAACCGTCAGGCCTGTAGATGCCTTTGTGGTCAGCGTGGTTAGAAAACTTATCGTGTCTTGCCTTTTTTTTCTTCCTTTTGTCCGATTTTGTCATTTCTGCCATCACTATTTGCTTCTGGAAAAGGCTGTCATTTCCCGATTCTTTAAATGTTCTTAACTATTTGTACCCCGCCCAGAGTTGCTGGGAATCGGGGCACATAAATTTAATAACCCATTATTATTATTATTATTATTATTATTATTATTATTATTATTATTATTATTATTATTATTATTATTGCTATCATCCTCATCATCATCATCTCCACCGGTCACGTAAATTGATCCCACGTCATCGAGTTGACATGCCACCGAGATTTATTCTCTCTGCAGTCATCTGCTTCCTAACCTGTTCCTTCTGGTTTCCCAATAATACAAACCAGGGGGAAAAGGTGTGTGTGTGTGTGTGTGTGTTTTAAAGAAAACTTACAGCTCCGCGCTATGTAAAATCGACTGTCACGTAAACGCCTGACCCGAATAAATTACGGGCAGAAGCTCACTTACTCCTGGGTAATGAGAAGCAGCCTCTGGGACTCGGATCCCAGCACTTGGCGACCGTCAACGTGATGGGCCTGTAGCAAAACACAAAAAGTTGGCATCCTGCAAGTTAATTCGTAACATCACTGGCATTTCCCTGGAGCGGGGGGGGGGGGGGAGGAGTGTCTTGCTTATCTTATCAGCTTCCTGCAAATTGCTTCTGGGGATTCTGCCAACCATAGTAAGTTTTCAGTTATTATTCTTTGAATTCTTGGGCGGCTGTTAATGCAATTAATTAACAGCCGTTGTTGTAAAAGACTGGTTTATTCAGTAAACTACGGTTTGAACTGACTTTGTGTGTGCTGCGTTCTTTGGGGTCCATAGCTGGGACAAGAACACACCCCAGTCCTTTTTGTAAGATGATTTTTTTTTTATTTTTTTTTGCTAAGAAATCTGAACTAAGATATCCAGAAGAAAAAGGGCGGGAAGCAGTGATGGGATTCAAATAATTTAACAACCGGTTCTCTGCCCTAATGACCGGGTGGGCGTGGCCATGGTGGGCGGGGCCAGGGGGTGTGGCAGGTAGCACTCAGCATCCTGCAACCTCCTGGGAGCAAAAACGGGCCACGGGGAGGGGCGCCAGCCCCCTGCACCCCGTTTTGGGCCTAGTAGGCCTGCCTGCAGCCTCTTGGGAGCAAAAACGGGCCATGGCGGGCCATGCCACACACACACTCCGCGCCACATTTTGGGCCTAGTAGGCCTCCCTTCAGCCTCCTGTGAACCAAAACGGGGCACGTGGGGACTTATGGAAGGGGCAGGGAGGGGAGGGGCTGGGCCAGCCAGTAATTTAACAACCGGTTCGGCCGAAATGGTGCGAACCGGTTGAATCCCACCCATTGGCGCCGGGAAGCATTTGAGGAATTCCTACATCCTTCGGGTACATTGACAGAAAACAACAACGGCGTGTTTGCAGGGCCATCAAACCCTAGAAGCTTTCACAAAACAATAACCCATTGTTGTTTATTTTCATTATTTGCTGGACGATTACCTCATGGTTCCTCACTAACAGTAAGAACCATTTTTGGTATCTGTAGAGATTCTCAGTCATCCCTCATGGTTGTCCCAAAGGTGCTTTTTCAGGAGGCAACTGGACTTTCTGGTTTTTTCTTTTGAAGACGTTTCGCTTCTCATCGAAGAAGGCTTCTTCAACTCTGACAGGATGATCTTTCCATTCCCCCCCCCCATCCAGTCAGAGCTGAAGAAGCTTCTTGGATGAGAAGTGAAACCTCTTCAAAAGGAAAAATAAGAAATCCAGTTGCCTCCTGAAAAAGCATCTTGGGACAACGATTTTGGTCGATTAGGATAGGACACAAGAGAGAAGCCCTTCAAACAGAGGGCTTCCTGGGATTCCTTCTGGTGTTTCTACACCTGCTTCCTCTCCAGCAGACGCTAAATGAGGACCTGTGAAACCTTTGAGAGATCCAACCTAGTACTAAGGAGAAATTTCTTGACAGTGAGAAACAATTAACCAGTGGAACAATTTGCCACCGGGTTGAGGGTGCTCCATTGTTGGAGGTTTTCAAGAAGAGATTGGACAACCATTTATCCAGAATGCAGGTAGTCCTCGACTTACAACAGTTCATTTAGTGACCGTTCAAAGTTACAATGGCCCTCTGGGAAAAAAGAGACTTATGACCGTTTTTCACAGTTACGACCTTTGCAGCATCCCCAATGATCATGTGATCAAAATTCAGATGCTCGGCAACTGGTTCATATTTATGACGGTTACTGTGTTCACAAGGTCACATGATCCCCTTTGGTGACCTTGATCCCCTTTGGTGACAAGCAGAGTCAATGGGGAAGCCAGATTCACTTCACAACCAAGTGACTAACTTACCAACTGCAGTGATTCACTTAACAACTGAGGGAAGAAAAGTCGTAGAATGGGACAAAACTCACTTAACAAATGTCTCACTTAACAACAGGATTTTGGGGCTCAACTGTGATCATAAGTCGAGGACTACCTGTAGTATAGAGCAGTGATGGCTAACCTTTTTGCCGTCGCGTGCCAAAAGCAAGGGGAACACGGGGGGGGGGGGGGGGGGGGGGCGTGCCCACATCCATAATTCAATGCGCCTTGTCCCCCCTCTGCACTCCCCCCGCTTTTGGCCCGGTAGGCCTGTTTTTCGGCCTCCCCAGGCTCCAAAGGCTTTCTAGGAGCCTGGGGAGGACGAAAACCGCCTTCTCCACCCCCCGGAGGCGAGAAACAACATTTCCCGACTTCCAGTGGGCCCAGAAGGCCCAAAAATCAGCTGGCCAGCACGTGCATGCACGCTGAAGCTGAGCTAGGGCAATGCTCGTGGGCCCACAGATATGGCTACGCGTGACACCTGTGGCACGCGTGCCATAGGTTCGCCATCACGGGTATAGAGTCTCCTGCTTGGGCTGGGAGGTTGGACTAGAAGACCTCCAAGGTCCCTTCCAACTCTGTTGTATTCTGTATTCTGAAATACAGCAAGTAGTTGTTACAACAGCACTGAAAAAAAAATGACTTATGACCATTTTTCACACATGACCGTTGCAGCATACCCATGAACACATGATCAAAATTCAGACATTGGGCAACTGACTCACTTTTATGACGGTTGCAGTATCCCACCAGGGTCATGCCATCTCCTTTTGCAACCTTCCCACAAGGCAAAGTCAGTGGGGAAACCAGATTCACTCAACAACTCCCTTACTAATTTAAGAACTGCGGTGGTGACAAAGGTGGCGAGGAAAGTCGTAAAATGGCGCAAAATTCACTTAACAAATTTTTTCACAGGCACATAAATTTTGGGCTCCGTTGTGGTCGTAAGTGGAGGATTGTCTGTACATCAGTCAAGCCTGCCCCAAAAGGAAACTGGGACCAAGGAGGCCAAAGAGATGACCTACCCCGGTTTGTGCACAATTTCCCTCAGCACTCGTACGGCATCGTCGTTGCTCATGTTCTCAAAGTTGGTATCGTTCACCTGCAAAGATAAATCAAAGATGAAAGAAGATGAGGTAAGAAGACATGGAGTTGTCAGAAAGACTCGAGGCTGGATAGACGAATAACCCCAACTGAGGTAATGTCAAGGCGCAAGCAACCAGAACCCCTCATGGACAACCCTGAGTAAATATTCTATTGTTGATTGCCTGTATTACAAGAATCTGCCATTGCGCTCCATGGTTTAGGACCTGGTTATCTCCGGGACCGCCTGCTACCACCAATAGCCTCCCACCGGCCAGTACGCTCCCATAGAGAGGGGCTCCTCCGGGTGCCGTCGGCCAAACAATGTCGACTGGTGGCCCCTAGGGGGAGAGCCTTCTCTGTGGGGGCACCTACTATCTGGAACGAGCTCCCCCCGGAGATACGGAGGATCCCGGATCTTCGCACCTTCCGTCGCGCACTTAAAACGTTTTTATTTCATCAAGCTGGCCTGGCCTATATCTTCTCCTTTTTAAATTTAAATTTTAAACATAAATTTTAATTTGTTTAATTATGGGGTATTTTAAAATTCAGCCTAAATTATTTAATTCGTTTTAATTCATTTTAAATTTTGTATTTCTGTGTTTTATCTTCTGGCTGTTCACCGCCCTGAGTCCTTCGGGAGAAGGGCAGTATAGAAATTTAATAAAATAAATAAAATAAATAAATTGTCTACCTTCTCTTGGGGAACAGCAGAACTAGACCTAAGATTTGACCGCAGACATTTCCTCCCCCAAACATAGTCTAAATTTGAATGTCTCTACTCTCCCTAAAGAAGCCCCCCCGTCAGACCTGGAAGCCATCTTTTTCGTTGGATCTTCAGGCCTGCCATATTTACTACTGTGGGAAACTGGGCGGGGGGATTGTATGGCGCATGGGTGATATATAGTCATAATAACATTCCTTTCTCAGAGAGTCAAGGACATCTTGCCCTGCACCTGGAGGGCTGGAACTGGGAGGTAGGTATCTCCAGTTGGGACGGTGTTTGGATTGGACGATGTGATGGACAGGTGGGTGCTGGGAAGGGACTTGAACGGGTGGGGAAAACCTGGAAACTTTCAGGTTCGGGTTTTCCCAGATGTGCCAATATGACATCGCTAATAAAATGGAACTTGAAGGAACTTCAAGCCTCTGAGTCTTGAAGATTCGTTGGGGGTGTTACTTGGAACACTGACACACCCTCCATTTCAGCTTCCCAACACATAGCAGCAGCAGGCAGAATGAGACAACTCTTGTGGCCAACTTACCACAGCCAATTCGCCTCAGGACAATTGCATTATTTCAAATAATTTTTAAAATATTTTAATTTTTGTCATTCACATTTCCTTTTGTCCCTCCTTTGGCATCCTTTTATTTGATTCTATTCCACCATTTCTTCAATATTACTGTAACTCTTGTCCTGTGGTGAGTTGGCCAGCCAAGTTGACCACGGCGAGTTAACCACGATGAGTTGGCCGCGGCAAGTTCTCCTAGACCCATACCAGGTCATATTTAGAATTTAGAATAACAGAGTTGGAAGGGATCTTGGAGGTCTTCTAGTCCAACCCCATGCTTAGGCAGGAAATCTTACACCACTTCAGACAAATAGTTATCCAACATCTCAAAAATTTCCAGTGTTGGAGCATTCACAACTTTTGGAGGCAAGTTGTTCCGCTTATTAATTGTTCTGTCAGGAAATTTCTCCTTAGTTCTAAGTTGTTTCTCTCCTTGATTAGTTTCCACCCGTTGCTTCTTGTCCAACCCTCAGGTGCTTTGGAGAATAGCTTGACTCCCTCTTCTTTGTGGCAGCCCCTGAGATATTGGAAGACTGCTATCATGTCACCCCTGGTCCTTCTTTTCACTAAACTAGACATACCCAGTTCCTGCAACCGTTCTTCATATGTTTTAGCCTCCAGTCCCCTAATCCTCTTTGTTGCTCTTCTCTGCACTCTTTCTAGAGTCTCCACATCTTTTTCATATCTTCTCGGAGTTTGAAAGCTAAGCACTTATGAGAGTTAATATCTGAATAGGAGACCACTTGGAAATGCCAAGAATGTAAACTGGACTAGGAAGTTAAGAAAACTCCCAGTTGGTGGCAAACTACTTCTGTATGGTTGCTAAAAAAAACAACAACCCATAAACAGACACATTCCTGAAGTCACCAGGAAGTGACCTTGATGGAGATTTTATTTTTTATTTTCCCAGACCTACCTGGAAAATCTGTATATGCTTCCAGATTTTTCTTTCACCTTTGCTGATCAACTCACAGACTACAGGTTTCTGCGGCTATGCTCACACTGTCAAAATGACACCGTTTATACAAGTTTTCACACGCTTAGAGGAGCCATGAAAAGAAAATGAGCCATCGCTGTCCATATCTTGGGCACACGTCACCAACAAAAGCTGGCAGAAAGAGTTAAGTCTTTATATCCCCACGCTCATATACAGTGTTTCTCAACCTTGGCAACTTTAAGATATGGACTTCAATTCCCAGAATTCGCCAGCCATGGGAAATTCTGGGAATTAAAGTTCACACATCTTAAAAATTGCAAGGGTTAACGAATACTGCCATGAGCAAAGCACCTGTACTGCTCTTTTAACTCACATACGTTTCTTATTGATCCCTTGAACCAGGGGTGAAATATTCCCAGTTCGGACCGGATCGCCTGATCCAGTAGCGATGGAGGCAGGTGGTTCAGAGTACCGGTAGCAAAAATCCCTGCCCCCCCCCCATGCCCAGCTAAGCCGTGCAATCATCAGAGGCTTTTTTTTTCTTTTAAATGCCTCTGATGATCCAAGCTGAGTTACCTGATGGGCAGAGGCATTTAAAAGAAAAAAAGCCTCTGACGATCAGGCAACTCAGCTGGGATCGTCAGAGCCTTTTGAAAGCATTCTTTTACAACCTCTTCACCGAAGAGGTTGAAGAAAAAATGGTTTTAAAAGTTTTTTTAAAAAAATTGGCCACACCCACCCAGTCACATAACCCCCACACACACACCAAGCCACGCCCACAGAACCGGTAGTAACAAATTTTAGATTTCACCACTGCCCTGAACATGAGCTCAGGTGTTCCATAAAAGAGGTACCTGCAGCAGCATGTCTCCGGGTTCAATTCTTCCATCAGCGGCCACAGCGCCTCCCTTCATAATGGAACCAATATAGATGCCTCCATCACCACGTTCGTTGCTTTGCCCAACAATGGAGATGCCCAGGAAGTTATATTTTTCTGCAGAAAAAGGGGGCGTGCGGTTAAAACATCACAACAAGCCAATTGGGTAGTTGGTCTATTCAATCATTTGTGATCTACCGTGTTTCCCCGAAAATAAGACCGGGTCTTATATTAATTTTTGCTGCAAAAAAATGCATCAGGGCTTATTTTCTGGTTAGGTCTTGTTTTGGGGGAAATACGGTACTAAATGCACCCATCTGGCTGACAATCTTAACTGGGGCTTATTTTGAGAGGGAAGGGCTTACATTACGAGCATCATGCTAGGACTTATTTTCCGGTTGGGTCTTATTTTCGGGGAAACAGGATAGCTTAAAGAAATAATCATTAGGAACAGGTAGTCCTCGACTTATTACAGTTCATTTAGTCACCGTTCGAAGTTACAACAGCACTGAAAAAAAGTGGCCCTTTTTTTCACACTTACGACCGTTGCAGCATCACGTGATCGAAATTCAGATGCTTGGCAACAGAATCACCTTTATGACGGTTGCAATCTCCTGGGGTCATGTGATCTCCTGTTGTGACCTTCTGACAAGCTATGGGGAAGCCACGTTTCACTTAACAACTTCAGGGATTCATTTAACAACGGTGGCCAGAAAGGTGGTAAAACGGGGCAAAACTCACTGAGCTCACTGTCTTGCTTAGCCATAAAAATGTTGGGCTCAGTTGAGGACTACTTATATTGGATCAGGAGATGGGGGGGAACCCTCTCCAAAGGCCTTCTTCATGCTAAATTGTCACTTCACAAATGTTCAACGGGTTATCTTCCTTCCGCCTACCAAGTTCTAGTCCTGGCACACATCTGGACTCACCCATGTTGAGCGTAACGGTGATGATATTCAGCGACATGGTGGAATCGGTGATGCTGCTAAAAGACGAAGACTGCAAGGAAAGGAGAGGATGGGATAAGAACCTGTGTGATTCACTAGTCCAGGGGTCAGCAACCTGCGGCTCTGGAGCCGCACGTGGCTCTTTCACCCCCTCTGCTGCGGCTCCCTGTCACTCAAAATATGCGTCACAACCGCCAATGTGCGGCCCGCTATTTATTGAGCTTTTCAAGCACGGATAAATCCAAGAAAAGAAAAGTTTCAGAAGAAAACAGAACGTTTAATTCAACTACATATGCTAGTTTTGTGGCCGCTCGGGAAATAGTCAGGCACCGGAAGGGTTTTGTGGCTCCCGGTGTTTTCTTTTCTGTGAGAAACTGGTGCAAATGGCTCTTTGAGTGTTTAAGGTTGCAGACTCCTGCACTAGTCAAAACTGACAGATGGGGTTTTGGGTCCCACCACTAGGGAAAGGATGGGGTAACATGCTCCCTACAAATTTACAGAAGGCAGGCCTGGTCCTAACACTTGCAAAGTCATTTGAATAACAACAGAATAACAGAGTTGGAAGGGGCCTTGGAGAGCTTCTAGTCCAGTGCTGGCTAACCTTTTCCGGACCGAGTGCAGGCCCCCTGCATACCCCCAGGTATATGCACTCCACCCCACACGTGCCCCCCACCCTCACCTGCAGCCCCCTGCACATGCCCCACCCCCCACGCATGCACACACACCCTAACGCACGCGCACTGCCCCCCCAACGCATGCACAGCAGAGACCCAAAGATCAGCTGGCTGGCAGGAGGTGCGTGTGCATGCGCAGCGGAGCTGAATTGGGGCAACGGCTCGTGTGCCCACAGAGAGGGCGCTGCGTGCCACCTGTGGCAAACATGCCACAGGTTCGCCATCATGGTTTTAGTCCATCCCCCTGCTAAAGCAGGAAACCCTATCCTATTTCAGACAAATGGCAGTCCAACCTTTTCTTAAAGCATCCCCAACCTCTGCAGGCAAGTCGTTCCTCTGGTTAATTATTCTAACTGTCAGGAAATTTCTCTTTAGTTTTAAATTGGTTCTCTCCTTGATAAGTTTCCATCCATTGCTTCTTGTCCTGCCTTCAGCTGCTTTGGAGAATAGGTTGACCCCCACTTCTTTGTGGGAGCCCCTCAAATTTTGGAAGACTGTTATCCTGTCACCCCTAGTCCTTCTTTTCTTTTTTTTTCTTTTCTTTTCTTTTTTTTTTAAATTTGATTTATATGCCACCCTTCTCCGGAGACTCAGGGCGGCTTACAATGCGTTAAGCAATAGCCTTCATACTTTTGTATATTTATACAAAGTCAGCTTATTGCCCCCACAAACTGGGTCAATTTACCTACCTTAGAAAGGATGGAAGGCTGAGTCGACCTTGAGCCTTGGCGAGATTCGAACTTACAGTAACTTACAGTAATTGCAGACAGCTGGTATTAATCACAATGCTATTAGTCTGCTGAGCCACCAGTCTTTTAAACTGGACGTACCCAATTCCTGCAACCGTTCTTCCTATGTTTTAGCCTCCAGTCCCCTAATCCTCTTTGTTGCTCTTTGCACTCTTTCTAGAGTCTTAGCATCTTTTTGACATAGTGGCGACCAAAACTGGATGCCGTATTCCAAGTGAAGCCTTACGAAGCGGTATTAACACTTAACGTTATCTTGATTCTACCCCTCTGTTTGTGAGGCTGTCCCACCTCCAACCAAGTCAGGCCTCTCACCCTCTCAATTCGGGCTACTTTCTGTTTCCGCCGACGGCGTTTGTGTCTCCTCATAAGACGGGAGGCGCTGCTTTGTTCTGTAGAGCTGCTGAACCTACAAGAGAAACGGCAGAGGAAGAATCAGAAAACGGCTTACCAGGAAGCAGTAACAAAGTGCGCGGAAGGGCGTCATGTTTGGGTTGTTGGATGAGGACTTAAAACGAGTCATTCCGTGTAGCTAAAACAGATCTTCAAATAACTCAAATCTTACCTTACAACCACAACTGAGCCCCAAATTTACGTTGTGAGAATTTATGTAAGTGAGAATGTTAAGTGAGTTTTGTCCTGTTTTATGACTTTTCCTGCCACATTTGTTAAGCGAATCGCTGCAGTTGTTAAGCTAGTCACACAGTGATTAAGCGAATCAACGGCTTCAACGGGGGTCAGTGGTCAAATGTAAATCATGTGACCATGAGGAATGCTGCAACGGTCGTTAACTGTGAAAAATGGTTGTGAGTCGCTTTCTTCAGTGCTGTTGTAATTAAGTGAACTGTTCACAACAGTTCACTAAGTGAACTGTTGTAAGATTAGGACTACCCAAACAGCATTTTTTTTTTAAAAAAAAAATCAAAACTTTCTAATACATCTTATTCTTTGACTCTTGTTAAGCTCACTTTTTTCAGTGCCATTATAACTTTCAACTATCCCTAAACAAACTGTTATTGTAGCATCAGCAGAAGCAAAACACCGTCATAAATATGAGCCAGTTGCCAAGCTTCCGAAAATTTTGAAAATAACTATGGAACTTATTATCATCTCTGGTAGACCTGCCCAGTGACGAAGAAATTCTGGGCGAAAGTTAAAAAGTGGAGAGAGGAAATAATTCAGAAATCAATAAAGGGAGAACCTGAGCAGTTTCTACTAGGGATTTCCATAGAAAACTATACTGAGGAAATATATTATTTAATATTACATATACTGACAGCAGCCCGCAAAATTGGAAGAAGGAAAAATTACCATCAGAAGAAGATTTAATTAGGAAAATCTTAAGAGGGCGCAGAGATGGACAAATTAACAAAAGAAATCAAGGAGAAAGAGGATACAGAATATTACAAAGTGTGGTGTAGGTGGTATGAATGGTTGGAGAATAGGAAAAATGAGAAAGAGGAATAAAGGAAAGAGGAATAAAGAGCCTGGTGGCGCAGCAGACTAATAGCCTGTTATTATCATCCAGCTGCCTGCAATTACTGCAAGTTCGAATCTCCCCAGGCTCAAGGTTGACTCAGCCTTCCATCCTTTCTAAGATAGGTAAATTGAGGGCCCAGTTTGTGGGGGCAATAAGTTGACTTTGTATAAATATACAAAGTATGAAAGCTATTGCTTAACGCATTGTAAGCCGCCCTGAGTCTCCAGAGAAGGGCGGCATATAAATCAAATTTTTAAAAAAAGAAAGAAAAAAAAAGGAGAGAGGGGAGAAAAAAATGTTGAAGATCAAAGTCCAATCTAGACGAAAGAAAGAATGATGGAAAATAAATTGTTGAATAAGATAAAGTTAAAATATGTTTGAATAGATGTAAATAGTAAGAAAGGATCACTTCGAAGTAGCTGTAGGGAAAAGTGATATGTATATAAATGTTGTGTGTTTGTGTTTGTTTTTAATGTTTTCAAACTAAAAAACTTTTTAAAAAAGAAAAACGGTCGTAAATCACTATTTTCAATGCCGTTGTAACTTTGAACAGTCACTAAACGAATGTTTGTAAGTTGAGGACTACCTGTACTTTACCTGTGAAGTAAACCTGGCCAACTGGAATTTACTTGATAAATCAGCTGAGTGCAGGGCTAAATCCCAGCCCATATTAGAGAAGATCCTCCATCACCTCTGTCACTTAGCCGCAGAAAGAAAAAGCAACCTACAACATCATTTACAAGAATCATTTCACCTTCTCACTCTCTTCTTTACCTGCTGGTGGAATCATCCTCATCGGAATCAAAGAAGCTGGTGGTCTCCAGTTCACTACTCATCAGGGTGGAGGAGCTTTCATAGCCCCCCAGTTCCCGCCGCCGGTCCCCCTTGGTCATCCCGTTCACCCTGGGGGCTGGAGAAAACAGAGACGGAGTCTTTTTCTTTGTGAAAAAATACTGTGCACAAATTAAATCGGCCTGTTTTGCTTATTCACTCTTTTTATTCCACCTTCTGTCTTGGGAGCGCAAGGCATCGCTTGCCCTGGCCGACTTACTCCGGCCATCGCACTGCATCTGACTCACCACAGCCAACTCGCTAGGGTCAACTCGCCATCGGACAATTCAATGCGAGATAATTCCAGAGAGGGACAAGTGTAGAATCGCAGCTCACTTGAGCCTCAAAGACTTCGAATCTGAGACGGTTCAAATTATAAAGCAACACAAAGCCCACCCTGAATTGTCCTGCGGCGAGTTGGTCACAGCGAGTTCACCACAGCGAGTCGGCTGGAACGAGTTGGCCAGGGTGAAATAGTTGGTGTGAGTCAGCCGCGGTGAGTTGTCCTATACCAGGGGTGTCAAACTCGAGGCCTGTGGCTCAGATCCGGCCCACAGGGTGCTTAGAGCTGGCCTATGCGACCGCCCTGGAAACAGCGAAGGACCGGCCCATAGTGCTTCTACCAGCAAAAATTGGAGCTTGTGAGGGCCGCGCACGGCCCTCCCGGGCTCCGTTTTTGGCTGCGACGGCCTCCTGTAGCCCTCTGCAAGTGCAAACGTGGCCCTCCCGAGCTCCATTTTCACTGGCAGAATGCTAGCAAAATAAACTACTAGCAAAAGTGGCATTCGGTCACACGAGTGACGTCAAGCAGGCCACACACCCTAGTCCCCCCCCCCGCAAGGTCAAACACAATCCTGGTGCAGCCCACGATGAAATCGAGTTTGACAGCCCTGTATGTGGCCCATTGAGGTTGGGGGAGCCTCTATCTATGTTAATTCAAAAATAAGCACCCCATGAGTAAATCAGGCTCAGAGGGTGTGATCCAAACTCACCACATCTCACCTGGCACTGACTACTGAACTCAAGCGTGAATTTCCCTGACCCTACGTGGCTACCTTGTAAGCTCAGAAAAAGGCCCAGTTTTTTTAAGGAGACTCCAGCCGGACTGAAAATATATTCTATTTCTACTTCTAATATTTATTGGATTGGTACGGGTTGTCCAAATCAAAGAACGCAACCCTGGGTAAACATACGACGACGACAAATAAACAACAACAAAAAAATAAACCAAAACAGAAGCATAAATGGCTAAAACATGGACAATATATCAATATGAAAATGACTCAAATTCATCCAGTTCCCAAACTCACCCACTGCATTTTAGCTTCTCAATTGGGGAGGGGAGGGAATCCGGCCTCAGGGACGAACTGAGTAAATTAGGATTTAGCACAAGGATACCCGTTGTGCGAACACAGACACCGGTTTGATTTCAAAGGGGGATAAAAAAATCCTCACCGTGCTCCGGACCTTCCTTCCTGCGTGGCCGTTCCCTCTGAACTGACACCACGGAGTCTGTCTCCGTCTCATTGTCCAGGTTCTCGCGGCTTCCCCCACTATTTGGGCTGCAAGGCAAAAACGTATTATTTCAGTAGGTCGTTAACCCCAAGAAACAGCTGTGGTATTCAGCCGGTTCGGATGGTATTCAGCCGGTTCGGGTGGTATTCAGCCGGTTCGGACGGGTTCAGGCGAAGCTGTGGTGGTGACCTGCAGGTGAGCCCGCACCCGCCCAGGCGCTATGCCGTCCTATATAGCCACGTTTTCTAAGCCGCGCGCAGGCGTGCAAACCACACGTGCGAGCAAAGCGCATGCACTCACATTTTCGGCGCACGACGAACCGGTGGTAAAATTAAGTGAAACCCACCTCTGCCAACCAATGGGTGGCTCTGTTCTAGGCAAGCTGCCATCCAGAAGTCCTGGTGGCCAACTCAGCTATGCAGCAAACACGCAAGCCACTCTGGACCCCACCACTTCACACTGCACAACAGGGATGACACCCCCATCTTCCCCACCGTGTTTTTTACAAAGGAAACGAATCAAAATACATACAAGGTAGTCCTCGACTTACGATCACAACGGAGCCCAAAATTTCCATTGCTAAGCGAGGTAGAAAGTTAAGTGAGTTTCGCCCCATTTCTTGTTCACTGAAATAGTGCAGCTGGTAAAGTTAGTAACACGGTTTGTTCAGTGAATCTGGCTTCCCCATAGACTTTGCTTGTCAGGTGGCAGTCACATGAACCCGGGACACACTGCAACCGTCATAAATGTGAGTCAGTTGCCAAGTGTTCGAATTTTGATCATGGGACCAGGGGGATGCTGCAACAGCCGTAAGTGTGGAAAAACAGTCATAAGTCAGTGCCCTTGTAGCTTTGAACGGTCACTAAATGAATGGTTGTAAGTCAAGGACTACTTATAAGGCCACTGATTCAACTGTCCTGCAGATTTTTCTAAAAGATCTTCAGTATACTATATTTTTCGGAGTATAAGACGTAAAGGGGATGAAAATTTAGGTGTGTTTTATACACCGAATGTAGCCCACCCACTGGGCCCCACCCTTTGGTCTCTGCCTCACAGCAGTTACCTCCTTGCAAGCAAACAGCAAGAAAAAACAGCTCCTTTCAGCTTCAGCACAGCCTAATTGGCACAAGTTGATTGGATCGGCCTCCCGACTCTCAGCTGTTTTGCGCAGGGATCTGCTGCTTGCTGGAAAGAGGTAAATTGCTGGAGCAGATTTTTTTTTTCCTTGTGCTAATCAAGCTATGCAGAAAACGAAACTGAAAGTAAAGCAGGCTGTTTGCTGTAAGGAGGCAAAATTGCTCAGAGGCAGAGGGAGATTTCTTTTTCTTCTTTTCCTCACCAAAAAAGGTAGGTGCGTCTTATACTCCGGTGCGTCTTATACTCCGAAAAATACGACATTTAAAATCTGGTGTCAAGTTTGGGATCCAATGAAGAAAACCTTTTGCACTGGTAATGAATCCATACAGATCAATATGCCACCAAATCTAAGGAACTGTCCCTACGACTTATGTTGCAAAAAACGCCCAATATTTCCAGGCTCGAAGTGTTCAGTGTCTCAAACATAATAACTTTCTGCTCACTCCAAAGCTTCTCCTTGCGCTGCTACTTGACTTACTGAAACGAAGGAGGCCTAGAATCTCCGATGCCTCCAGTTCGTTCGATGGAGGGTGGCAGTTCCGGCTGACTTTCGGCACAAACGGACCCAGCATCCGAATGAGATCCCTCAGCGGACACCAGCTGGAAGGAGAAAGGTTTACAGGAGATAAGCCAACTGGGAGAGGTAAGAATTTTTTTTCTTTTCGAAGAGAAAGCATGGTTCTTGCAAAATATCACTGATACACTGATGATGTTACGTAGTTGGGTAATGAAACGTCAACCAAGCTCAGAGAGCACCAAGGACCCCACAGTCCTCCTCCTCCTCCTCTTCTTCCTCCTTTCCCTCCTCCTTCTCCAACCTTCTAGCCCTGAAGATGTTGGCTCATGAAACATCTGCGAGGAAACAACCAAGCTCAGAGAGCACCTAGGACCCCAAAATCCTCCTCCTCCTCCTTCTCCTCCTCCTCCCCCTTTCTAATCCTGATGATGTTACCTAGTTGGTTCATGAAACATCTGCGAGGAAACCACCAAGCTCAGAGAGCACCAAGGACCCACAGTCCTCGTCCTTGTTGTGGTCCGCCAGCAGCCCAGGGAGCTAGCAGCAGACTCGGACAGTGAGGAGGCTGGGGAGAAACATGGGCCAGTCCTGGAGTCAGGGGAAGGCCCAGATAAGGGCTCTGTGTCAGAGGCAGAGACGGGGCCAGGGCCATCTGGGAGTGATGCATGGACTCCAGAGCCTCCAGAGTCAGACAGCAGAGAGGCAGAGGAACAGGAGGAGCCTGTTCCTAGTGCAGGCATGTGCAGAGCTGCCAGAAGGCAAGAGCAGCTAAAGCAAAAAGGACGACTCAGGAGTAAGGCCAGGAGATGATTGGCCCCTCCCATAAGGCTTAAAAGAGCAGCAAAGGCACTTGGGCTCTTTGTAGGAAAGCAACGTTGCTAAATCTGTTTCCAGTCGGCATCTCTTGTTTCTGAACTTTGTGGGGCTTTACCAAGAAAGGCCTTTGGCAGGGCGCCAAAGAAGATAAAGGTTTGTGATAAGCCTGAAGGACTTCTTCCGAAGGACTTGTTTTGCAATTGGACTCAGCTGGGAATAAAGTAATTCTCAGCTGGTACAATAAAATAGGTTTGTTTGGGAATAATTGTGTCTTGTAATGACTAAGTAAGCCTAGGTCAAAACACTCCTCTTCCTCCTCCTCCTCCTCCTCCTTTTCCTCCCCCCTTCTAGCCTTGATGATGCTAGTTGGGTCATGGAACATCTGCGAGGAAACCACCAAGCTCAGATTTCAACCCTGAACTACAAATATTCTCTTCTATAAATAACAGAAATAAATAAAATATCCGAGGAAAAAAATGACCCCTTCTTCTAAATTCCTACACAAGGTCTATCAAAATCACCCATGCCATGGCATCGCATGGATACCCCACAAAGCCCCCCATTAAAGAATACCAAGGAATCCCAGTGTAACGGCCAAAAAACAAAATGAGCATGCTGTGTCTCAACAGCCAAACAAAAATGGTTATGCTGTGTAACAGCCAAAATAAAAATGGATATGCTGTGTAACGGCCAAAAAACAAAATGAGTATGCTGTGTTTAACAGCCAAAAATAAAATGGTTATGCTGTGTTTAACAGCCAGGAAATAAAAATGATTGGTTTAACAACAAAGATGAAGAAAAATATGTTGGGTTTTATAGCAAAATAAAATGAGGTGGGATAGCCAAATAAGGAGGAATATGTTGAGATTAATAGTTAAAATGAAATGAATAAGTCAGGTTTAATAATAGAAATAAAGACTATAAATGTTGAGTTCATTAGTAAAAATAAAATGATTATGTTGGAATTAATTACTTTATGAATGTTTATAATAATTGTGATGATTTATATTATTAAAATATATCCATCTAAGCAAACGAAAGAGAAAAATGGAATTATAATTGATTAGGATTTAAGATTTAAGTAACAGGTTTTTGGGGATAATGGCATAGCTAAATAGAGAAAATTGAGGGAAATAACTGAGTAAAATATTAAGTTGTGTTAATTGAAAAATAAGATTTGTTCGTGATTTGTATTAATTTGTGACCGGATCAAAAGCTTTGTTTTGAAAAAAATGTGTTCTATGTTTATGTTTTAAAAAAAATAATAAAAAAACTTTAAAAAAAAAAGAATACCAAGCAATCCCAAGCAGGTTGGATTTAATTCCCCGATGCCTTCTTACCCCTCTTATTCTTCCCCACTGCCACGTTGGCAATGAAGTCGTTTCACCCACCCAAAGAGACCTTAACCTCCCTTTCAGTCTCTACCCTTTTTACAATGTTTTAGTGAGTTGTCGCTCCCCGGTTTACACAGGCTTAAAAATCGGCATTCTTCACTGCAACGTACAATCAAACCCAGACAGATCTTTTGTTCAAAAGTCACCCACCACCAAGGAAACATTCACGGGGCGAGCAGGGTTTAACTGCAGAAAAGTTTTAATGGCCGGTTGTGTCTCTGCAACTTCCTAGTCTCTCTGTTCTTGCAACATCCCCCCCCACGCCCCCCCCACCCCACCCCAAAGGCTTTGTACAACTGCTAAGTCATCACTAATCAATGATTCATGGTGGAAGGAAAGGGGAGAAGGGGAGGGGAAGGAGGGGAGGATCTAAGGGCCTTGTAAAGATGTAAGGACAGCAAGAAAAAGCACAGTCTTCGACGTTCTGTTGCTAAGGGAGATATTTGTTAACTGAGCTTTGCCCCGTTTTATGACTTCCCCTGCCACAGTCGTTAAGTGAACCACTGCCCTTGTTACATTAGTAACGCGGTTCTTAAGTGAAATCTGGTTCTTTTATGGATTTGGGGTTTTAAATTTGGGTAGCCAATGATTTAATTCTTTTAATTATCTTAACTTTTGCATTTGTATGTTTTTTAATTTTGGCTGTTCACCGCCCTGAGTCCCTTCCGGGAGAAGGGCGGTATACAAATTAAATTAATAAATAAATAATAATAAATAAAGAAGCCCTGTGAATGAGGCACAATGAATGGGATCAGAGTAGTGGAGCATGAGAAGACTACGAAGATACTCCGTCAAAAAACGCTACTTACCCACGACACCACTCGCCCGTTGAAGCAGGGAAGCTTTGCGTTGTCGTCTGAAATTTCCTCTTTCACCACCCTGGTTTTTTTTTAAAAAAAAAAGAGAGAGAGAAAGAAAAATGACGTGATATTGTGCACAGTATTGCTAGGGCCTTCAGAATCGGCATATCCTGTGAGTAACACTATGGATACAGTAGTGGCCAAAATTGTGGAAACCTTTTGAGAAAAGTGTATTTTTCTAAAACTGGCTAATAACAACTCTTTTTTTTTTTTTTTGCAGTAGTACTATAAAATTATATATCAATGGAAGGATAACTTAATCAAGAATGTAATGCAATAACTTTTATGAAGGATTTGCTATTAGAATAGCAGTTACAGTATAAAGAAGAAAAGTGAAACATGTAGAAAAAGCGAGATATACCAAAATTATCACCATAGAAAAAACGAGATATTCAAAAATTATCACGTCAGTTAATACCTAGTGGGGTAACCTTTAGCATGAATTATGGCCTTACAACGCCTTCCCGTGGAGTGAACCAAGTCTTTTAGTTCTGCAGCTGTTATAATGTGAAACCAAGATTGAATGATGGCTTCTATTAACTGGGTTTTATTGCTGGGTCGCTTCTGACTAACAAGTTTCTTTAGTGAGTTCCATAGATTTTCAATTGGGTTAAGATCTGGGCTATTCCCAGGCCATTCATTCCAGCAGTGGAACAGGATTATCTTGAAACTCCAAAAAAAAAAAAGTGGTGTTATTAGCCATCAAACCTCAGAAATCTTTTCCCAGAAGATTTCCACAATTTTGGCCACTACTGTAATATTCCATTCACATCCTATGGATAATTCTTAACAGGAGGGATGGATAAATGCAGAGGAGTTGTATTCCCCAGGGTCTGTTGAAAGTGCAGAGAAGAGCAATTAAGATGATCAAAGACCTGGAGACTAAAACATACCAAGAACATAGGAAGATGGTTGCAGGAATTGGGTAGTTTAGATAAAAGAAGGATTGGGATGACATGATAGCATATTCCAATATTCCAGTATTTGAGAAATCGCCACAAAAAAAGAGAGAACAATGGATGGAAACTAATTAAAGAGAGACACAATCTAGAATTTATTTATTTTTTTTAAATTTGATTTATATGCTGCCCTTCTCCAGAGACTCAGGGTGGCTTACAATGCACTAAGCAATAGCCTTCATTCTTTTGTATATTTATACAAAGTCAGCTTATTGCCCCCACAAACTGGGTCCTCAATTTACCTACCTTAGAAAGGATGGAAGGCTGAGTCAACCTTGAGCCTTGGCGAGATTCGAACCTGCAGTAATTGCAGGCATCTGGTCTTAATAACCAGCTTAATAACAGGGTGCCTTAGAATTAAGGAGAAACTTCCTAACAGTGAGGACAATTAATCAGTGGAACAGCTTGCCACCAGAAAGTTGTGGTGCTCCATTACTGGAGGTTTTTAAGCCGCTAGAAGACCTCTAAAGTCCCTTCCAGCTCTATTCTGACTCTCTCTCTCTCTCTCTCTCTCTCTCTCTCTCTCTCTCTCTCTCTCTCTCTCTCTCTCTCTCAACATATCTCACATATTCTATGGTGTCTACAATATCCTTCAACATATAGAGAAAGACCTCATGCTGGCGGGAGAAAATGCTCTCGGCGTGGCCCACTACTTGGCAAATGTCATTTAGTTTCAATCTCATTTATTTGGCACACTTCTTGATGTGCTATGTTTTTAATGACCTGTTTTATACCCATTTTATTTGAATTTGTAAGTCCTGACTCGAATAAAGAAAAGAAGTTTTTTCTATTTTATTTTAGGTTCACTAATCTCTAGAGGTGGGAAAGTAAAGGCACTTTTTCAAGTCAAACTCAGTGACTATTTATGAATTACTGCTGGTAGCATTACTGAAGTGGCGTGCCTTTTTTTTTTTTTTTTTAAATGTCTTTTTTCTGGAACATTTTTCACCTCTCCAGTCTAGCCTGGGATTCTCTCAAATAAACCTATTTATCTTCTGAAATCCATCAAGGTCAGCCGGGCTACAGCCAGCTCATATATACAGACAGAAAGAAAAACAGATCAATTGGAAAAGTAATAATTAAAAAATGCATTAAAGGTAAAGGTTTCCCTCGCATATATATGTGCTAGTCGTTCCCGACTCTATGGAGCAGTGCTCATCTCCGTTTCAAAGCCGAAGAGCCAGCGCTGTCCGAAGACGTCTCCGTGGTCATGTGGCCGGCGTGACTCAACGGCAAAAGGCGCACAGAAAGCTGTTACCGTCCCACCAAAGATGGTCCCTATTTTTCCTACTTGCATTTTATACGGGCTTTCGAACTGCTAGGTTGGCAGAAGCTGGGACAAGGAACGGGAGCTCACTCCATTATGCGGCACTAGGGATTCGAACGGGAGGGCGTTTTATCAGGTTCGCCTGATTCGCCAGTTGCGTCCCTTTCTGGATCGGGACTCGTTAAATACAGTCACTCATGCCCTCGTCACTTCCCGCCTGGACTGCAATGCTCTCTACATGGGGCTCCCCTTGAGGAGCACCCGGAGGCTCCAGCTGGTCCAGAATGCGGTCGCGCGGGTGGTTATGGGAGCGACGGGGTGGTCTTCCGGGTGCGCTTCAAGGTTTTGGTTACCACCTTTAGAGCGCTCCATGGCTTAGGACCGGGATATCTACGAGACCGCCTTCTGCCACCAGTGGCCTCTCACCGACCAGTACGCTCCCGTAGAGAGGGGCTCCTCAGGGTGCCGTCGGCCAAACAATGTCGACTGGCGGCCCCCAGGGGGAGAGCCTTCTCTGTGGGGGGACCCGTCATCTGGAACGAGCTCCCCCCCGGAGATACGGAGGATCCCGGACCTGCGCGCTTTCCGCCGTGCCATTAAAACATTTCTTTTCCAGCAGGCCGGCCTGGCCTAACCTCTCTTTTAAACTTTTTAAACTTTTTAAAATTCTTAAATTTTAAATTTGTCTTATAAATTGGGGTGTTTTAAATTTTGTTTTTTGGGCCAATTATTTAATTGTATTTTAATGGCTTTTTAACATTTGTATTATATGTATTTTATTTGGCTGTTCACCGCCCTGAGTCCTTCGGGAGTAGGGCGGTATACAAATTCAATAAATAAATAAAATAAAATAAACTGCTGACCTTTCGATCGACAAGCTCAGCGTCTTAGCCACTGAAAGCGTCCCCATTAAAAAAAATGCATGAGCTATCCCTACTTGAGCGAATCCAGTCCCCAGGCCTTACAAAACTGACCAGGCTCAATGGGTTACAGAAGGGGTCTTTGTTCCCCCCCAGAGACACAAGGCCCTTTGAAGGGCCAGAGGAGAAGCAGCTTGACGATTGAGAAGAGGGTCTCCATTAGCTTCCTTGCCTCCATCCAACCCCCCACCCCACCCTTCCACACACCGCAATCCACTTCGACTTTTGTTAAGGAAGACCGGCTCTGACTTCAGCAGCAGGCGATTCCACCCGCTGCCAAAATGGAGTTTTTGAGGCTTTGAAGGAATGTGCTTTGCAAGCAGAAAAGGTCATTCCTGCAAGAACCTCAGCTCAGCAAGAGGGCAAGGAAGGAGGAGGGAAAGACTGGGGGGTGGGGGGGGTGGCGGCCGTGGGTATTTTCTTCTCCTGTACACCTAGGAGAAAAAAAAAAAAGATCGCCACCAAATAGTTACCAAAACCACAACTCCGTCATTCCCAAGCGATCACCAATCTAGTGGAAACGGAAATTCAGAATATTTTTTTATACTCTGCCTGTACAGGATGGCTGTCGACTTGTGTAAAGGTAGTCCTCGACTTACAACTGTTCGTCTAGGGACCGTTCAAAAGTTATAACGGGGCTGGAAAAAAAGTGATTCGTGACCAGTTTTCACACTTACGGCAGCTGCAATGTTTCCCCACCCCCAGTCTTGGGATCAAAATCCAGACGCTTGGCAACGGACTCACATTAATGACAGTGGCAGTGTCCTGGGGTCATGTGCAGAGGTGGGGTTCAGCAGGTTCTGACCAGTTCTGGAGAACCAGTACCATAAATTTTGAATAGGTCGGAGAACCAGTAGTAAAAATTCTGACTGGCCCCACCCCCATCTATTCTCTGCCTCCTGAGTCCCAACTGATCGGGAGGGAATGGGGATTTTGCAGTAACCTTCCCCTGGAGTGGGGTGGGAATGGACATGTTACAGTATCCTTCCCCTGCCACGCCCACCAAGGCACCCCCAGCAAGCAACACCCACAGAACCGGTAGTAAAAAAATTTGAAACCCACCACTGCTCATGTGATCATCCCCTCTTGCGACTTTCCGAGTCAACGGAGCCAAGTCAACGGGGAAGCCAGATTCCTTTTTACGACAGTTTGTCTAATTTAACAACTACCGCGATTCGCTTAACAACTGTGGCAAGAAAGGCCGTAAAACGGGGCAAACTCGCTTAACAAGCGTTTCGCTTGGCAACAGAAATTTGGGGTTCAATTGTCGTCGTAAATCGAGGACTACCTGAATCTGGGTAATTTTTTTTCAAATACAATGCTTGGGCTGCCTTTCCCAAAAAAATCAAATATGACAACTCTGATTGGCTTCCGAGCTACTTTCTTCTTTTTGAAACCATCAAAGGAGAAGTGTCTCATCTCTGTGCAGAAAATCCACTCTCATTTATTTTCAGATCCCGTTAAACCAGACAACTTTTTCTCTTTGACCGGTGAGATGACTTAGCAGGAAAACAAGAAAGAGTTAAGACAAGCTAGGCCAGAGGTAGTACGCTATGGCAACTTTAGGGCCTGTGGACTTCAACTCCCAAAATTCCTGAACCATACTGGCTCTGGAATTCTGGGAGTTGAAGTCCATAGGTCCTAAAGTTGCCTTAGTTATCCACCAATCGGCTAGCCTATTCCTATCAAACAAACTCTACATCTGTGATGGCGAACCTATGGCACGCGTGCCACAGGTGGCACGCGGAGTCATGTTGCCTGGCACGTCAACTCAGCTCTGTCAGCTGATTTTCGGCCCTTTTGGGCCCACCAGAAGAGGGCCTGGGGGGGGGAGGAAGGCCCGTTTTTCTGTTTCCCTGGCTCCAGATCCTCT